GTGTGTGTGTGTGTGTGTGTGTGTGTGTGTGTGTGTAAATATATAGGATACACTCTGTATATATTTGCACATACTGTATAAAGACCTTGGTAGAATATGGGGCTACTGATATAAACTTTCTGTATTTTATATAAGCAGAATAATTCCAACATAAAGGTAAAAAAGTGGAGATATGGTTAGAAAGCATGAAGCTCGCGGTGTCATAATGCCAGTCTGCCAGTCTGCCAGTCACATCTGATGCAAGACACAACAGCGTTATGACAATGACGGCAGATAAAGTAAACAATAAATGAATGAGTGTTTGTTACAAAAGTGGAATGGAAATTATGTATTACAATATGTTTACAAAACAACAATTGTACTAAAATAAGAAAAGTTTTTCCTTTGCGTTTTTTTTTTTAAGTTTTGCATACAGACGACAATACTGTCAAAACTATCTCTGTTCACACAGATACACAAAAACGACTAAAAACATTGTATTATTCATGCCAGGCCAGAAGTTGGCGATGTCACTTTGTAAAGAAACACTGCACGTCTGCGCACATCTTCAAGTACGTACTCGCACATGCCTATACACTGAACATGTAATACACATACACATGACGTCACCGTTTTCACAAATTCGTGTTTTTGTAGTTTACATGGAGACAATAACAGGTTCGTTTTCACAAACTCGCACTTTGAAACCCGTTTTCAAAAGTTTGTGGCCCCCAAAACGCTGCTGTCATGTAAATGAACAGCTAAAACACATGAAAAGTTTTTCATTTGTAGCTAAAAACGGTGTTGTGTAAATGCCCTCGTAGTTACAATAAGTGTGTCTCGACTGAAACCCAAACATTCCTTGTAAAAACAATGTCTACCCTTGTTTTACCCCATTTTCTGTCTCTGTGTATTCTAGCAAGTCTTTGAATTTTGGCTTGCACTTCTGTAAATGAATCTGCATTTCATCAGCCAGCTAAACACAATCTGGCTCGCCCTGCTACAGTAGCCACGGCCCAAACTCTAGCCATTGTTTGAGCTGGAGCTGAACATGATGAATGATGGGATACTGCTGAAGGAGTATTATTTTTCAGCCTTTTTCAGACCTGTCTTACTTGGTGTGACATACACGCACTCTCAAGTGGCCAAGACCGCAAGTGTGGGTATTGGGACAGGCCCTTAGAACTGAATCAGGTGTGTTTGATCAGGAAGAGTTTAAAAATATATACTATTGGTGTGCCTCCGGGAACAGGGTTGGGAAACACTAGGATAGAAATCCACTGTGGAGCCCACACTGGTGTGTGGCATCATGCACATGAACACCTTTCCACAACCTAAAGTCACAAATTAAACATCCTATGGTATGCACTCTCTGCGGGACATTGATCCTCCAGAAGCAGGATTGGACAAAACCTGTCCTGGAAATTTTGGACGCACTCCCAATTTAGGTCTTGTAGTCTCTACTAATGATCTAATGTGTTGAATCAGGTGTGTTAGATGAGGAAGACATCCTAAATGTGCAGTGTTTGGGACAGGTTTGGGAAGCACTGATATACAGGTGTCTGTCAAATGGACTTGCAAATCTTGCAAATCTCCAAGACCACAAGAGCGCATTAAGTTGGGCCCATATTTCTTCAGGAAATGTTTGTATGTGCATGAGTGGGATTTGGTGAAGCTCCTCAGATATCTGGACTACAGCAGAGTGGTGTTTTCATCTTCTGCAGAAACAGTATTTCAAATCTTTAAAACTACAGCTGCATATAGAACTACACTAGCCAATAGCTAGCGTTTGGTAACCAAAGATTGAAGTTTGAAGCACATGATGATTAAATTTGCTAGATACTGTAGCTATCAAAGTTGAACTGCTGTGCTAGCTGGATAAAACACTCACCTGTTGCAAAAATAAATACTACCACTGTGATTGTAAAGCAAAAGAAAACATAGCATGTAGTATATGTATAATCAGTGGCATTGCCAGATCAATATTAGATAGATAGGGGGCGCTTATATTTTTTATAGCACAGTTAAGTGAATTTCGAAGAGATAAGCGTATGCTGCTTATGATTTATGGTGATGTGCAAGGTTATAAAAGTTCTTAAAAGGACATTGTCCGTCAATGAACAATCAGATGCCGTACTAAAGTCAAGCTGGAGAGCAATTTTCCACCAGACCCTTCCAGTGGACCACAGGTTTGCCGCAGATTCTGGCAGTATCATTCTGCTTCATAATAATAACCAAGAAGTAGTTTTCCAACGAGATGAACAGTAGGACAGCAGTCAAAGTGGCAATGCATACAGAACCACTATTACATACAACCATCAGTTTCCATGCACGTCCTTCTGTAACTTTTTTTTTCCATTCAAATATTGTTAGTGAGATTTATTCATTTTGTATTATTTTATTATTTCGTTGTGATAAAAAAAAAAAAAAAAAGCTAACAGGTAACATTAGCAAGGAAAGCTAATTAGGTAGCACTGTAGGCCTACAGCTCAGTGGCAAACAAATAAAAATAAAATAAATACTAAGTGACTAATATGTATTCCAAACTATTAAGTGTAATGAGTTAACTATATGCTTACATCTTTTGGTTAAAATATTTGGTTTCAAAACGAAAATGATTTATTTTTCGGTAACTGGAATGACACTTACAAGCAAGTAACATTATATCATCCGATACTAAATCTTTTCCCTCACAAACGCTACTCACAGGAACTATTATTAGACGTTCATCCATCCAGAACAGCAATCTCTCCAATAAAAGTGACCACTTGAACATCAAAAAACACTTCGTGTATTTCTATTTTTATCCTGAGTGCGGCGCTGTTGTGTTATAAAAGGCACCTGAACGGAAGTGGCCTTCAGTGAATTGAGATCAAACCGATTTACACATTAATAAAGGAAAAGGCACATGTAGAGAGCCGAAGTCATTTATATTTTACTAACAACTCTATTCATGGAAACACAAATGAGGGGGTTAATTGTCACGATTGTGATAAAATAGCAATGTCTATCTATCTATCTATCTATCTATCTATATCTATATGTCTGTCTGTCTGTCTATAGTCTGACAATATCTATCTATCTATCTATCTATCTATCTATCTATCTATCTATCTATCTATCTATCGGTCTGTCGATTAGCCCGTTCACCCATCCATTAACTGAACAGGCAAAACCTACTGATGTGCAAAAGCTGAACATTCATGATTGTTTTGATTTCCCCCAAATATTAGGCAGAGATATGACAGCAGATATTCTGACAGCTGTGATGTTCTTAAACTAATCCCGAGTCTCTGGCTGGATGCTGAGGTGACTGTAGTGCTCTCTGACAGATTATAGTTTTTCTCAGTCGCTTTGGTACATTTCTCGAATCATCCTTGACATTTGCAAAACAGTAAGTGCATTTCTCAAAACAACTCGTACAAATAGCAAAACACCATGGATTACCTGCAAAAGCCAGTCTCTTGCTCAAAATCCTTAGTTCATCTCTCAAAAATAAATATCTGTGTCAATGAACATGTCAGTGCCATCAGAATGACAAGTCATTGTGTACCGATAAGACAGTCAAATTGCTTAGTCATGTTGTCAATATAACAGTGTACTCTGGAGGGATGTTCTGATGTAAACTATGGCTACAGTTTTGATGACAATTATTGTAAATTGTAGGTTACACCTTAGTGTATGTGGGAGTTTGATTGCAAGAGACTGGACAAGATTCACATTTATGCTTTTACTGTTTGTACTGTAATTTGTTGACAGACCATGCCATTGTGATACAGAAAGGAAACGACAGCACTGCATAGCACAAAGAAAAAACAAAACAAAAGTAGAAATGTGAACATAGGACAATCTCCTTAGGGAAAACTGTACATGCAGTGCTGTAGGAATTACAGTGCAGTCTTCCTACACCTCCTGACGTTCCGGTCTGTTGGGCCACAAATTCTCATCCACATCACAACGAATATCTTCTCTTGCGATGAAGCGTGGAAAGAATCTTTTAGAGTGTCTTATCCATCCTCTGCAGGCATCTGCTGTGATGTCATCACACGCTGCATCCATGGCAGCCAGAAGGGTCATCTGTGTATGTGGCTGGCGATCATATACTTTCCATCTCCATGCTGAGAAAAATTCCTCAATGGGGTTAAGGAATGGAGAGTAGGGTGAGAGGAACTCCATCAGCATCCTGTTGTGGGCTGCAAACCATTGCCTGATGATGTTGGAGCGATGGAAACTGACATTGTCCCAAACTATCACGTACTTTGGCAGGTCATCTCCAATCTGACCCCTCTCTTGTTCAGGGATGAGATCCCTGTAGAGAGTGTCTAAAAAGGTGACAAGACACTCTGTATTGTATGGCCCAATAATGGGAATATGCGTTAGCACACCATTCTCAGAGATAGCAGCACCCATGGTTATGTTCCCGCCCCGTTGGCCTGGCACATCAACTGTAGCTCTGTGGCCGATGATATTTCGACCACGCCTTCTGCGTTTCGTTAGGTTGAAGCCAGCCTCATCCATGTAGATGAAGCTGTGCGGTGGTTCACTTGCTTCCAGTTCCATTATACGCTATATCCAGAAGACACAAAATGAGTTTTATGAATTACATGCATTTTCATTTTGGCCAAGATACAGTTACATCAAATGTATACTACACAAATTGCATCATCTTTTCTACAGCCATAACAAATGTGTAAAGGTCACACTTACTGTACTGTATATCACTATACAATGTTGTACTGTTGAGGTACAGTTGCTGCATGCTCATACATGTTTTACCTGTGCATACTGGTAGCGCAGCTCCTTCACCATTTCTTTCAAATGGAACAGTGTACAGCTGCTTCATATTCATTTGGTCTTTTCAGCACCCTGTCAATGGTTGAGATGCTGACTGTTTGGATGTTTTCAAAGATGTTGTTGTCCTCTATAATGGCACTCTTTATCTCCCTTAGTCTTATGGCATTGTTTTCTACAACCATGGTGCAAATAGCCTCCTCCTGTTCAGGTGTGAAAAGGGGCCCTCTGCCACCCCTGTGAAGTTGTCTTGCAGTCCTATGTGGAAAAAATATAGTAATGCAAAACACAAAATTGAGTAAGATAAAATGTCACTGTTTACTGTATATTGTAAAATGCAAGTGGAATACTGTAATATTGTATGAAGCATTACAGAAAGTATACAGTATTACAGTACAGTGCCTATTGTTAGATTACATACCTGTTCTGTCGACGAAAAGTCTGAATGATTGAGGACACAGTTGTTCTCCCAACATTTGGCTGCACCCTTCGACCAGCCTCGGCCATTGTAAGCCCATGATTGAGAACGTGGTCTACAAGTGTGGCTCTTATCTCATCAGGAACACGCATATGTCCTCGGCCTCTTCTGCCTCTTCCTCTGTTTTGCCTCCCAACTCCTCCGCCACGCAGCCTCACTCCTCTTCCTCTTCTTCTTCTCTCTGGCTGTTGACCCCGTCCAATTCCTTGTCCTTCCATTGTCAGACATTGAAACATTGTGTTGTGCTCCGGCTATATATATACTTGCCAGCTGATGGTCCATGAGATGCACCTTCGTTAGAGAAAATCAAGATTCGCCTGGGAGCAATTTACCAGTGCAGGACAGATTTAGAAAAAAAGTCTAATGGAAATGTATAGAAATATGCTTGACATATTATGACAACTTGTTCAACCATTTTGCATGTAAAGACTTATGCTATGAACTAATGCCTAAATGTTGTGGGGGGTGAGACTATTCAACAGAGACCCATTATAATACATTTTGATCAACATGACATAAGCAGTTGATCATGTAGGAAATCTCTGCATCTGTTCCCCATAATGCCATTGAGTCATGATATCATGACCGAATCATTCTGTCGGAATAGATAACTATATGTAGGACTTTTAAGGCTATTTATTTAGATATTTATTTCTTTTAGGTACTATGTATCTTAGTAACTATTTTAATGATCAAACATGTCATTACTTTTATTAGGGTTAGGTAAATATAGATAATTAGACGTTGACTGTGTTTGGGTACTATATTTCACAGTACTGCTTTGATATGCTTTATTTAAGTGATAAGGATGTGATAAAGTAAACAAATAACAGCAGTTTATGGCTTTATAATAACTGTATTCTATTCACATTATTTCAAGACTACCAATAAACCTTTAATGGAATAGTTCACCATAAATCCAAAATGATGTCAGTATTTACAGGTGCATCTCAATAAATTAGAATGTCGTGGAAAAGTTCATTTATTTCAGTAATTCAACTCAAATTGTGAAACTCGT